CCCACCCCCACCCCCGTGCTCTCTGCCAGCACCCTCATTCACACACATCGGGTCTGCTCCCGCCTCCCTTATTCCAGGCCCGACTTGGCTGAGGTGCATCTGCTCAGCACCCCGTTTGCAGTGGGGAGGGGGAGGTGGGGATGGGAAACGCAGTGCCGCTGGACCTGAGAGTCCTGGACCACTCCACTGACACAGAGTGGACACCGGCCCAGGGCAGCCGGCCAGACCGTCCTGGGTGGGACTTGTGATCCCGCAGAAGCCGCAGCTGCCCACCCACAGCACATGCAGACCGTTTGTCCGTCTGTGGCTGATGCCACAGCATGTCATTCCCGTGCTTTTCACGTGAGCCACAGAGGGTTCCCTACACGCTTGTGGGAAAACAGACTGAGAAAGACAATGGGATCAAACGTCCAGCAGGTTTTCCCACGGGCTATGGAAGCCCCTCCGCTCTGTTGGCACAGTATTTATGCACTGGGCTGCCCACCCAAGGTCGCAGCTCAAAACCCCCACGGCAGGAAGACACGGCTGTCTGCTCCCATGAGGAGCGACAGTCTGGGAAACCCGAGGGGGCAATTCTGCCCCCCGCCCCCCATGGGGTCGCCGTGAGGTGGAATCAGCTCCGTAACTGTGCGCTTGATTTCCAGGTTTGCAGTGAGAGTGACTGTGTCTGTCACACAGGGCCACCACCATCCTCATCGGCTCTCACGGCCCCCCTGAGCGGAAGCTCAGTGTCCCGGAAGCAATGGCTCCTCTGGGAGGCCTCGTCTGGCCCACAACAGGATCTGCTGCGAGCGGCTGGGGAAGGTGGGATGGAGGGCAACTCCCTCACTCCCCTGGCTCACGGCCGGTGATGTTCCCGGACGGCGGGGGCCGCTCCATGTGTGCCCAGACCTCCTGGAGAGCAGCTGCACTTCCTGTTGACCTGGGTCCCGCCTAGGGCTCTTCAACCTTGGGTGCTTCCGACTTGAGCTGATGGCCCACCAGGGTGCCTGCCAGCCCTGAGAGCCTCAGCGCCCCGCCGTCGCCGTCTCGCCCACCAGCCTTGGGTTCCTTCCCCCTCCGCCTCCACCAGCCATGGCCCTTCTGCTTTGGCTTCCTGCCCCCTTGCTTATCAGGTCCGGCAGTGCCGTGAGTCAGGGAAAACGTCCAGCTTGACCCTTGGACGGGAGCCAGACTGATGGACACACGTCTCCAACAGTGTGCACTACGTTCTTGATATCGGTTTACTTCTCCCCCGCTCCCTCCCTCCCTGCCTGTGCTTCTCTGGAGAGGCCAGCCCACGCCTGGTCATCAAGAACGCATGCTGGTCCCTCTGCCTTGGCTTGTCCTGGGAGTCCCAGACACAGACACAGGTGCAGGGGCCATCTTCGCTGTGGTGGCTCAAGGCCCGGAGAGCCGGAGTTAAAGAACACAGTCTCTGTTGGGGAACCGTGTGCTGGAGGGGTGCCAGCCTATCCATCTCGTTCAGCAGCTCTGCAGAAATGGCGCTGCCCTTCTGAGAGGCCACTCAGCTGAAGTGTCTGTCAGCAACCCCGGGAAACCCACATCAGCAACGTCAAACCCAACTGTGTAATGACGTAAAGAACTGACCGGGGAGCGCTGTCAGCCACAGGTCAGACAACACCAAGAACTGACCGGGGAGCGCTGTCAGCCACAGGTCAGACGACACCAAGAACTGACCGGGGAGAGCACTCACACACACAGCACACGACACCAAGAACTGACGGGGAGCGCTGTCAGCCACAGGTCAGACGACACCAAGAACTGACCGGGGGAGGAGCCCAGCAGCTGAAGGCAGTTTGGCAAGAACGTAAGACAATCCGAGAAATCTGTTATCCTATAACTGACAGACGCAGAAGATTTAAATCAGATGGGAGATGCCCATGAACGTCCCTGAAGTCCATCCCCAGGAACTTGGGCAGTAACCGGACTTGCCATCGAGGCAGGTCTGATACACGGTCTCCATCCCAAATCACCGAGGTGGGATCAGCCTGCAAACTGAAATGGGGCAATGGGTGGTGGACCCAACACAAACCCGGCCCCTTCAGACGTCCAGCAATGAGAACAGAGGGGTGCAGGGCTTGAAAGCCCCGGGCCCGGCCTCTGCTCTTTTGTGGATTTAGGGCTACGCAGTCCTTCGAGAAACAGATCTACTAAGCTGGAAAAGAAAACATCGACTGACCTTTGAAATACGGCCCCAAACTCGCCCACCTAGAGAAATGCTACCTTCTGGGGAAATGGAGCAGAAAGATCGTGAGATGTTCCCTCCGATGTTTTCAAGCCCGGTCATGTTTGGATGGTTCCGATATGACAGAGCCTGGGGCACCTGACTTGGAGATTCCACGGGATGTTGACAGAAACCTGAGAGAGCCGCCTGGAAGAGGAAGATGGAGGAAGGGGAGGGGAGGGGAGGGGGAGGGGGGAGAGGGAGAAGGAGAAGGAGGCGGGGAAGGAGAAGGAGAAGGAGAAAGAAGAAGAAAATCAAAAGACCATGGAAGTTTTCCATGACCATTAGGAAACACTCACATAGATGTTTGGCTAGTCAAGAAAGCCTTTGGCATGGAACACGCTACGGCAGTGCGTAGGCATGGATTGTTTGAGAAGCTAGTGATTTGGCTCTCAGGGCTCACTTCCCTCTCAGAGAAGTTCTGTAAAAGTGATGGT